GAATTTTATTCTATTTTATTAAATAAAGTTTCAACTATGGCATTTACAAAAAAAAAAAAAAAAAAAAAAAAAAAAAACTGAGATCAGGTCTCACTCTTTAAAAAAAAATAAAAAATAAAAAAAAAAAAAATAAAAAAAAAAAAAACAATATATATACAGTATATATATTTACATACTAGTACTATTAAAGTTAATAATTATTGTGCAAATAAGTTTATTAATAATCAAAATCCTTAGCACATTTTACGTATATAATAATAATCCAATAACTTTTTCTTTTCAAAAAAAAAAACTAGACTTATTTAAAATTTTTAATGTTTATAAAAAACAAGATTTATATATTTTTTGTATGGTCTAATCTGTAAATATTCTTTTATATTAATTAAGTACATATTAAATGCATTTATTGTCATCAGATACGTATTAGAAGTGTTATATACCAGATAAACATTATTGTTATCAGATATACTCAATTGCATTATAAATATCAGATACGTATCATGTGGAAACAATGATATTTGCCCGCGTAAGCTAAGCCATTGAATAATCTTTATATAATTGCAGATTGTTTATTTTCTGTCGCCACCAAACTCTTTCCTAAAATTGTATTTTTCTTGGACCCAAATTATCTTATCGTTCAAACTGCACTGAAGACGATATTGTAATGGAAGGACAACCTGAAATAATTCTCCAGTGCCACGAGGAAAGCAGGATTATTTGGTTTCCAGATTTGATTGACAGCTCTATGCGGTCATCTGTATTGTCGATTGATAAATCCAACGAAATAGATAATAGATATTCTCTTTTAAATGATAACCTGTTTCTTGAAAAATTTGTTATTCGAGATTCAAAAGGTTTTTTAACACATTTGGAACGCGAGTTACGCCCGATACCAAAATTTTATGCATTAATGACACCAATAAATATAAATGATGGAACTGTTATCACTAAAGATGACAACACAATTATTGATATAGAAACAAGCAATTCTTTTATGCAAGACGAAGTTAAGAAGCCTGTAAGACAAAGACAAAGAAAAGCTAGTACAAAGGCCGGTAAGAATAAAGGTTTGAGTGAAGAAAAGACAGAAAATCATGAACCAACTCGTAGACCGACAAGGAAGAAAACAGTATCGAACGGAGAAACTAAGACAAGAAAAAGAATAAAGACAAATTCTAATGTTGAAGACGAAATATCCACGACGATTTTTGGATATGAAAATAAAAGCAATAAAAAACACGGTGTTGATATCATGGAAACTGGAACAAGGAGTCGAACAAGAGCCGTATCAACTAAAAAGCGGACTACAACCACTAACAAGAAGGTCACGCAAAAGGTCGTTTGTGATCTTAACTCTTCACTATTTACTTCAAATTTGTCATCTTTGTCATCAAGTTGCGAATCTCTTTGTGAGGACCTTAACTCTCTTGACCCCGAGTCTCTTATTGGCACTTCTTCCAAAGAATCTTCTACGTCATTGCCTCTGACACCGATTAAAGCAGGTAGCTTGAGTATGATATTAAATTTTGATAATAGTTCACTTAAGCCGGCGCCAGCGGCTTCAATGCCTATTTCTTTGCCTTAAAAAAGGTTGATTCGTATGCGAAACGCCGTATCACGTGACACGCCAACTTAAAATCTCTCCACTCTCAATTGGTAATAATATCGATATGCAAACTATGATAAAGATGAAATTATTGTTTCTTCGTTGATGTTTTATGGAATAAAATACATCTTCTTTATTATACTTGGAGTATAGGAATTAAATTAAATATTTCTAAAATCCGAAGCTGGAACAATAATAAAGTTGAATGTATTTTTTGCTCAAAATTGAGGGATCCAAAGAAAAATCGGGTCTCTATCATTTTCCCGACAAAAATTGACCGGAACTAACGTTAACCCTAACCTAATGCGGGCTCACTTGTCGGAAAATGATACGTAGAATCCGAGAAAACATTTCGTAAAATTTGATTTTCTACTAAACGTAACACAACAGTAACTATGTATAACAGGTGTGACTATTTCATCACTTGTCTATTCTTTATAAACGAAGAACCTTTACAAACTTCACAATGTCGAAAATTTCGTCTTCAATCAGAACTATTGAACCTGTTGCACTTCCTGGATGGATTTTTTTGCTATTCTTACGTTTTGAACGTTGTTTAATTTACTCGATAAACGTAATTTCAGTACGTGCGGATCTCGCACTATCTACGTATATGCCGTAAATCGCTACAGTAACCGGAAGATTTTCTCGTTATGTACAACTTATATATAAATTACCGGTCAATAGAACCGGGGTTTTTATCAAAACGCATGAAAAGGAATAAAACTTAAATGGTGTTGCATATTTTTGTAGGCAATCATTTCAGACAATTTAGTTTAAATTCGCAGGCAAGATTATTTTACAGACGATTAATTCATAGACAAGTTCATTTAATATACAATTTATTTCACCAATAGCTTATTTAACAAATAATTCTAGCCGTTGTCGTCATTAATTAAGGTTGGCGCAATTCATAAAAGGAACTTGTCGGTGAAATGGGCTGCCGCAAACTGGTGAAATCGAAATGAACTTGTCTTTGAAATAGGCTGCCGCAAACTGGACCGTTAGTGAAATAGAAATGAACTTGTCTTTGAAATAGGCTGCCGCAAACTGGACCGTTAGTGAAATAGAAATGAACTTGTCTGTGAATTAATCATATGTGAAATAATATTGTCTTTGAATTAATTGTTCGTAAATTAAGTTGTCTATGAAGTGATTATTGGTGAAATCCATTATTATTTAAAATTATTAGCATTTTAAAATTACTTGGTGTTTAGTCTTGTAGCTTTTAACAAAGAACAAAGAATATACAGTATATTTAAAGTTTAAACCTTTATATTTCTTTTTTAATAAATAAATGACTAAAAGTACAACAGTCAAGAGGATATGTTGATCTGATATGTGGTTATTTTAAAATCATATACATAATATTTTATACAGTACAGTCAGATCTCTCTAAATGCACGCCCTCGGGACCACACTTTAACAACGTACATTTGGAGAATAATAAGAAAAAATGCATTTATAGAGGTCAAGTATATATTTTGACAAAATTTGAGTGTGCACTTATAGAGGATGCGTTTAGAGAGGTCCGACTGTATAGAAATATTTGTATTTAAAGCATCAAACACCAATTACCTGGCTAGTTTTAAAATATAGCAAATATAATGTTAAACACCACTATTGTAATTTAATAAACTTATTAAAAAAAACAAACTTTTTTTTTAACAATTTCATCATTTTCTTAAATACTAGGCACTAATAAACTATATATTAAACCGATAACATTATAGATTGTCAAGCCAAATATCTATCAAAAGAGAGGAATAATCAAAGCGTTACAATAAATAAAACTAGCAATTAAGTTTGAAAATATATATACAAAATATATACTAATTATAATAAGACAAGATGTATATATACATAAAGACATATAGAAAGACATATAGAAAATCAGTGAATATAATAGTACAATTAACTTTGAGAGTCAATTAATCCTTGGTCCCTATAAAAATAATTATATATTAATATAAATAATTTAAAATAAATCACTTTTCAAAATTTGAAAACGTTGATTACATACCATGGTCTTGGTATCAATGCAACAGGTAGAACCCTAATATTTAATTTTACGAATTTAATAATCTCAAAGTTAAAAAGGAAATATATAACTTTAAATTTATTTTTCTTACCAAGTTGCCGCAATAATAACACCATTTCCAGCATTTTGGGTTTTGATAATGGAAAATTGCAATCCGACCCAAGCAGAAATAAATCCAAAATAAGGAGATATCGGAGAAGAATTTCCGACTATTGTTTGTAAGAAGAACAAGAAAGCGCTGCTAACACTTTGTGCTTGATCTAAGCGACCCATGGAATGTTGAGGGACATAAATTTCGTAACCCCACCAATAAAGATAGCAAGAGATGCGATCTAAGGGAGGTTTAATTAATTTTACACTACTTAAGCTGCCACCGATCACCTCTTTAGGGTATTCTTTGGAAGATTCATCCAGTTTCTCGGGTAAAGGAACTTGAGGGACATTATCAATAATTACAACTTCAGTGGTGGGTAAATCAGGATCGGGCATTGATTTCAAAACTGTAATCATTCCCTTCGCAGTTACATCATTTTGTAGTGCTTTAACGACACGTTTTCGTCTTCTATCATGGGATTTGTTATCACCACCTAAAATAAGATCCTTAACATGATAAGCAAGTTTTTCATGATATTTAGGGTCAGATTGTTTTCTTTTTTTTATCCACCAGTATACCATTATGTGGATAAAATTGATTATTAAAAGAAGGCGAATAAATGTTTGCGAAAGGATTGAAGTTGGTAGATGAATAGATGACTTGACAATATTAGGTAATTATAAAGAATTGGGATGAAAACTTCATACTTATATTTGAAATTTCTGTGAGACATTATTTTAAGGGAGCAAATACGAAAAAGAAAATAGCATATAAGGGGGATATTTCTATTAAAAAACTCAGGAGAAAATTATACGTGCGTACATACACAATAATTTTATCCTTATATGGTTTCGTTCAAGTATCTCGTGACCTGAACAAATGCAACTTAATCTTTTGGTAACACGTCTTTACAATGTTCTTTCAACATCTTAACGTTAAAGGGAATATTAATTCTACCAAATATAGAGTTGATCTTTGGTGGTGGAATTTAAATCTAATTATATCAATACTGTATATTTATATATAGAAAATTTTCGTAATGATAAAATTCCATTGTTTTTTTTAACTTTACGGGTGGTCGTCTACTGAGTGTATTTTCTTCGCATGATGTAAATTTACAAAATTCGCTGCTCGACGACATGTCTTCTGTATATGCATGTATGTAAATTAGATGATTTTTGGCTAATTATCATTCTTTTTGAATTTAATCAATTTGATCAATAGTGCCCCTTGGTTTGCATTTCCCTTGAATTTGCGGCATCCATAAACCAGTATAAAAATAGGGACCTTGAAGGTAATGCCGTATGGTATTGTTTTTGTATTATCTTTAAAATCCCCATAACAGTATTGGTTTAACGTAAATTATGGATGCCCCTAACGCTATTATTATTTTGAACATATAATATTGTATTCTAAATGTTGGGATTTTAATAATACACTCATGAACACAATAAAGCATTTATATGTAATAAAAACATTAAAATACGATCGAATATTAAAACATATACGTACAGTCATATCACCCTTTTTTCCAGGGATAGGGATATATCTTAAGTTTATTCCACGGCTCCTAATTGTTTGCTCATGATTTTTTTTAC